TGACGGTGCTGAGTGAGTACTGGTCCAATGCCTGACGAATGGCTTGTCCTGTCCCAAGGAGAAGTCTAGTCTGAGATGCTTTTGACTCCCAGGACATCTAACCATGCAGACTTCTCAGGCAAACAAACTCTCAACCTTTTCCTATCTCACAGGCATCAACTCTGCTTGAGACATTTACACTGAAAAAAGCCTAGGGCCCAATCTTTGGTCACCACTGGAAAGATTCGAATATCCCTATGCAAACTTCAGTTTAGCCTGAAGCAGGCCAAGTTTCAATGACTACTTTGTAGCCATCTGTTTAGCTACTACTCAAAATCCACAGATTAGGGAGAAATTATTACAATTTACTAGGTAGTTACCTTTACTGGGTTCAAAGGTATGGCAATTCTATGAACTCCAGGGACTCCTAAAGCCCTTACTCTAACGACACCTCATTCCTGATTTCTAGAGCCGAGCGGAAAATGAGAATATGTGGTCTCACATTCACCCACATCCCTGACCAGAAGGCAGCACCGCGAAGGAGCCCCTGGGCCAGAGTCAAAGGGCAGAGGTCAGATTCAGCACCCAGAGCGGAGTCGTGCACAACTCACAGGGCATGGAGCTAGAGTTAACCATGCTCTGTACTAGGTGACGCTAAAATCAAATTGTTCAGTGCAACATGCAGCCAGAACCGACCCTGGGAGCCAAGGGTTCCCTGTGGCTGGAGTGGCTCAGCTGTTCTTTACAGGATCCTAAATGTTAGATTTGCTCTATTCCCTTAGACTCCCAAACTCTGAGAGAATGAACAATGTCACTCATTCCCTAGAAGAATGACAGTAATGGCCTCCTCTGCCCACTGTAGCAGAAGCGGGGTGGGTAGTGAAGGCTCCTGTTTCCTCTCAAGAGCCACCTCTGGTGGCTCCTTAGGCCCAGAGGTGGGGCAGGCCTGAAGCCACGCAGCCCCTCTACCAGGTGCTACAGAAAGCTCTAGGCAGCAGCAGGTGAACTCTGGAAGCCTGACCCCTCTCCACACTTGCCTATAACTGCGGCCGTCTGGACAACAGTCATCTTGCTGATTGCTGTCACCACTGCCAAGCCTCCAGGCCAGAAGAGCCATTTGGAAAAGTGAACAGAAAGCTCAGCTCACAGACTAAGAATCCCAAAACTACCAGCCCCAGGTTACAAGCCTCCTTCTGCAAAAGGAAGATGAGTCTATGGCTGTGAAAAAGTACATCTGGAATCAGGTGTCACAGAAATCATCTTAAAGACAGGGCCTAACTTTCTTTTATCTCCTACTTTCACTCTTAGAACCAGAGTCAACAGCAAACAGGCAAACTCCCTGCAACACAAGGTTTATTTTTATGCTTCAACATTTTCTGTGTGTGTGTGTGTGTGTGTGTGCGCGCGTGCGCGTGCATTTAATTCAATGTGATCAAAGAGCTCCTAGAAACAGCTTCTCATCAGCCACATGTTTTAAAGACGGGGGAGAGGAAAAGCAAAAAGAGACTGGAGCTTGAAGACAACAGTGGAGTTTGTTTACCTATTTTCTGGTGAAACCAGTTCAAATAATTTAAAGTGATAGAGGACCTTTGAGGGGAAGGAATCAGCCCAACCAAATCCCTTGCTTTTTTGCTTTTTGTGTCACAGCATTAAGACTTGCTGCAATGACCGAGCTTCCGTGACTACTTCAGCTAGAATTACAACGGGACCAAAAGAGCTTTCTTGATCTCACCTAGTAGCAGGATCCATTCTAAAGGAGGCCAATGCTTCCGGTGTCCCTGGTCTTGTAACCAAAGGAGCTGCTACTTGTCTTGTTTCTTATTTAAAAACATACGGGCACCTGCCTGTAATAGGTGTATCCAAGGCTTACCGAAGTCCGCACTTTTACTGGGATAAGACTTAACATCAAGTCAATGGCGAGACTGGCTACCGCGAGAACAACAAAAGCTATGAAGTGGTTCACGGGAACCTTAAGTCCCTAAAGAGTAGAAACGAGACAAGTAATTCATAATTTGGAATAAGATGACAACGTATGCAGCCACTGCTCTGGGCAAAGTTATCAAAGAGCAGCTTACATTCCCCAATGGCTTGCTGATTACTGCTATCATAAACCAACGAGTATACACCCAAGTTCCTACTATGCACTCAGCAGTATGCTAGGCATGGAGGGACGAGAAGACATCAACACACATATCTCAAGAAAAAGACCATGGCATGAATATTTACATTTCGTAAACAGCACAAAGGAAACACACAAAGGCAGTCTGTTACTCTACTTCGCTCAACACAATGCCCCCCACAGCCTAGCTGAGAGTAGGCACTCCACGGCCACTCCCCAAATGCCTAAAGGTGCCAGTCAGTCACTTGGCTTCTTCCTACCAGCTCATAATCAACAGTCTGGGAAAGTTCTCTGGTTAAGCAGGGTTTACCTGCTAAAACAAAAGTTGTGATAGGAAAAGGAATTCAACAGGCAACCTCAAGAGGGCCTCGAGAAAGTGGTTCCCAGTAAGGAGAGAAACAGGTGGCAGGCAAGGGAGCTGGTGAGGTGCAGACCATGCTCCTAAGACCTCAGTCCCAACACATGCAGAGCCAGCTACCAAACCCAGCGATGAAACGGAAATCATCCCTCCCTCCCTCCATCCCTCCCTCTCAACTCCTGCTTCACCCTCAGCAGCCATCAATCCATCAATAATGCAAGGGTCAACCACGGTACAGAAAAACTCGGTCCAGAACGGCTTGCGAGTTCCTGACTGCCCAGGTGACAGCAAGGGGGTAACAAAAGAGAAAAACTTAGGACGGATTAAAAAAAAAAGAGATTTTTCAGAGAAGGATGTTAACATGCAAGAGAATACAGCAATGGTTCCACTGGGCGACAAAGAAAGACAGGAACAAAAGGAAAACATAAAAGGATGCAAAAAGGACTGCAGCCCCGGGAAAGGAGGGCTCCTTCCTCCAGTCGAGTTTCTCGGGCCTAGTAAAGTTCTCCACCAAGAAGGGTGTGACAGGCAGAAAATAGTTCACGAAGCGAGGGACACTGGAGATGGTGAAAGAAAGGGGAGGGGTGGAATGGGGACGCCTCTCAGCTCAGAGGTGAGATGACACAGAAAAGGCAGTGATTGTCAGGATGAGGGGGACCGAGCAGGGAGCATGCGAAATGCCTGGATGGGAAGTTACGAAGACTAGTCCAAAGGAAGGGATGAATAGGGGCATGTGTGGGAAAAAGAAATATGTGAAGAAGACAAGAGACTAATATGGAGATGAAAAGCAATCCTGATTAAGAGGCATAGTAAGGAACACGGGGTGAGGGTAGACAAACTGGAAGGGAATAAGCAAAGAGGAAGACACTATGAAAAGTGAAGATCCAGGAGTGAGCACACCAGCAGGTACCACGGTTTGCGCTGCAGTACAAGGCAAAAGGGCAAGGACAGTGACGGAGGGAGGCCCTGGAAAGGACAGAGCAACAGGTTGTGTTAATGGAGTGGGCTGAAACAGCAGCGTCTATCCCTTGGTGGAAAGTGCCCAGGGAGAAGGCTGGCAAAGCACTCACAATGAAAAACAGAAGGCCGAGAGACTTAAAGGCCAAACCCCCCGGAGAAGAGAACATGTGGGGATCCAAAGACTGAAGGGAGTGATGACTGGAACCCCAAAGACAACCTGTGGGAAAACTGTGCGCATGACAGCTGTATAGGAAACACGGAAGCAACAAATGCCAGCGCGAAGCACCACGGAGCTCCTGGAGAAAAGAAGGGAAAGTGATGAGCAAAGAGTAGGCGAACAATTTGGAAAGGTGATGAGGGTGGAGCTGGTGGGTTGCAAGCAAGAGGGAGAGCACAATTTCGAAAAAGAAGCAGCAGGGTAAAAAAGCTGGGGAACTGGAAAGGGATAGCGATCGAGAACACACTCCAGGCAAGGACCCTGAGGGTGATAATCAGGGACTGGGAGAACCGGTGCGGACGGAGGCGAAAAGGCTAGAGAGATAGAAGCGGTGGACAAGGATCTGGGGCAAATCGCTGGGTGCTATCCGAGGAGTAGGAGGGTGGCTGCTTTAAGCATGGGTGGAGGAAGACCAGAAAGGCCCCTGAGAGAAAAAGGGAAGACAAGGGGAAGCTGGGGAGGTAACACGAAAGGAAGAGCGCAGGAGGGCGGTGAGGAGAGAATGGGGCTTAGCAGAAAGACAAGTGTGTAGCCTGGAGTCAGGACGAGGTGGGTCCCAGGACAGAACTCGGAGGGGGATGTGCGGAACCGAGAGCCAGATGACAGGGCAGCCGAGGCTTGTAGGATGGCAACAGGGGCACGAGGTGAGCAGAAGAGGGAGGAGGCTCTGCAAGGTGCAGGGGCCCAACCAGGGAATTCGGGGAGCCCTCGGGGCTCCTTACCTGCTCCGTGTCCCTCTCGTTCAGCGTGGGTAGGGGGGTCCGGGCGCTGGACATGGCGCCGGTATCTCAGGGGAGGGAACCGAGAAGCTTGAAGGAAGGGAGGGAAGGGAAGGCGCGGAGCCCGGTCGGGCGGGGCTTCTCACAGCAGGGGCACCCACCTCATGGGCCACGGCCGGGGGTGCGGGGAG